TGATAATTTGGCTGATACGGTAGCACAGGACCGCACGGCTACGCAGGAAGCTTCCACTGACACTACTCCGATCGAGTCTATCCCGGGTAGTAGCACTGCCCCGAGCTCCTCTTATTCAGCCCCTTTCCCCACTCTGGTTCCGCTTGCTAGGGTCCAGAAATTAGAGTCACAGATATCTACACTTCTGGATCACATCCAGCCTTCGATGCAGAAGTCTATTGCTGAGGCAGAAGAGCGCTTGGAGCGAAGGATGGTCCAGCACACAGAGCGGAAGATCGCTGAGGTTCATCAGCGCTTGGATGCTTTTAAGTTGCGGGTGTTAGCCCGACCAACCCCTTAGGTGGATATGTCGATCCTTCAGGCTGTGGTCGACAGTCTTCGCACAGACATTGACATGATCTTATAGGCTAGGGTGCCTGAGTCTGAGGCCCCTTCTGCAGAGCCTGTTGAAGACATAGTGATGGCGGCCCTATTCGCCACTTCAGAGATTCCACCACCTCCCATTCAAGAGCATGCCAAGAGGCGTACGGGTCGAGAGAAGGATGAGGCTAGAGCATGGAAGAAGGAACGTTGTGAGATGGAGGCTGCAAGGAGAGCCTCGCTTGCTAATAAGAAGGTACGTGGATGAGGGTCGTAGAGTTAATTGTTGGGTTATCTAGCTCCAGAAATATGGAGATAGCGGGAGAAACTGCTGATAGTGTTATTGCTGATGAGGACACTACTTAGGGTGTCCAGATTACAAAGGTAGTGGGTTCCGAAAAACCGAACCCACCAGCTTGCTGATTGTCATCGCTTTGTGCCCTAGGTTTGCTTCACCTACCACTCTTGTATTTCAACTTTTTTTATGCATTGGGGACAATTGCATGTATTTTTATTGTGGGTTGGGTAAATGGAAAGTGAGTGCTAGGGTGAAGTCTGAGTAGCCCAATTCACGATCCTCTTTTGGGGTTTTTCTTGCATGTGTCTTTTGCCCCAAGAGACTGATTACTTTTCTGTTGAACTGGCATGTCTATATCTTGTGTACATAGTTTAATTCTGAAGCATGGTGTCTAAAATGATATACTGAGAAAATGGAAAATGATGCATGACCAGGCATAGTAATTGAAAAATGTGTGGCTCTAAGCATGACATAGAGGTACACCACTGCATGACCCTAAGTCTACAATTTGAACTAGGTGTCTGATAATCTGGTAGAGTAATGAGATGCCAAGTGAGTGTGAGGAAGATTTGAATAGTCCACTATTTGTACTAAGCTAGAACTTGCCTGATTAGTCCGTCTAAAAGTAAGTTGTAATAGACAATTAGGAAAGGATCATAGGCCCTTATTCAATATAGCCCATTTTTAGCCTAAATAAAGAAAACCAAATGAAATTTATCCTTCTTTGATCCAAATGATTTGAGCTTAAACTAGACCTTTTTTTTCACCCTAACTAATCTTTTCTGAGAATAATGTGTTGGCTATGGTCTCTCCTTGGACATGTGCACCTCAGCTTATGCCAAAAGCATAAGTTGAGGGTGGCTAATGCAGTAAACAACCCTTTTTATGGCTCTAACCCAACTTTGGGTATTGTGTACTTCGACTCATGGCAAAGCCATAAGTTGAGGGTGGCTATATGAGGAATGCTCTGGAAAAGTGGGGTTGAAAGAACAAAGAGAGAGAAAGAACAAAAGTAAAGTGACTCAGGAATTACTTGAAAGAAACGTAAAGAAAAAAATATACAAGAAACACAAGCAAGAAAAGAAGAGATTCACTTACACAAATGAAGAAAAAAAAGGAAAATATCAAGGTGAAAGAATATGAGAAACTGGGCAAAAATAAAATGATAGAAAATGGTATGTTTGGCCGATATGTCAAGGAGGGAAAAAGGTCACTAAAGTATACCTAAATATACCATACCTGACCTTGAGCCTATGTTACAAGCAAAGAAAGTCCTATCATGATCCTAAGAGTTGTATAGCGAACTTAAAGCAGTGAAAATAAGGGCAAGCTTATGGCAATATGTATGAATGAGTGTGAATTTATTCTGAAAGTGAGTGTTGAAAAGTAATCCTTATACTCAAACTGAAATCATTGTGTGAAAAATGAGAATTTTGCTTTGAAGTGAGGACAGTAGTTCTAGTTCCGAAAATATTAGCACCTTAGTGAGAAATTGAAGAGGATAAGTGTTAGTGCATAGTGAGTCTGTGTCATGGTCTGATTCCACATAATTCAAGCCTAATAGTGATAGCATGCATAAATATGATGAGATTGATCGGGATTGATAGCCAAATGATTGCAAAGGACAAAACATGGATACTATTGTACAAAGATTTTGTATTGAGTCATAGCGCATCGCTTCAGGACAAACAACGAACATAAGTTGAGGGTGTTGATATACCGTGGTTTCACGGTATTATTAATACTTTTTTCCTTAAGTTTAGTGTGTCCAAAAGCCTTTTTGTGATAATTTTTATATAAGTTTTTCTTTATTTGTAAGAAATCTATCTAAAAGATGAATGCGGAGGTTTTTGAGCAAGAAATACCAAAAAAGTACAACCTACGGAGCTTGTGATTGTTCGTCGTGCCTGTGACGGTCCGTAGGTGGCATCATAGTGCAGCTGCTGAAGGAAGATGGGGAAGTCTGACCAAGTATGGGGTTACGGAGTGCGTGACAGACCGTGGTAGCCATGACGGCCCGTCCTGCTGGTTCATCATGAAGTTCAGAGAAGTAGTCCAAGTACCCAAATTCCAAGAGTTTAAGTGTTTTGGAACGGAGACCCTCGACGGACCGCTGTGCCTGTGACAATCCGTCATACCTGCCATCGAGGGTAATGAAGAGAGAAACAGAAGAAATTGTACAAGTATGGGACGACGGAGTCCATGGCGGTCCGTTGTGACCACGACGATCCGTCGTGAGGTCCGTTGACCCAGCCGCATTTTGACAGATTTCCAGCTAATAGAGTCCTTATTTAATAAGGTTTTCATTTTTTATAAATAGTTCAAAAAACCTCATTTTTTAGGTTAGACCCTTGATCATTGTGAGACCTTTGATCATTGTTAGACCCTTGATCATTGTTAGACTCTTGATTATTTTTTAGACCCTTTGTGAGACTCTTGGATATTTCGAGACTCTTGTAATTGATTGTTGGTGATTTTTGTTGATTAATCAAGGGCACTTTCGGATTTTACTCTTTGTCATTGAAGTAAGTACATGAATTCTTATACCATATATTTGAATGTTGTGATTATGAATATGGGTAACTAAACTCCATAACTAGGGTTGTGGGAACCATAGGCGAATAATGAGGTAAAACTAATGAAAATAACAATTCAAGAATAGTGTCTTGCATCTATTAATAATACTTTCGCTTAGAAGTCTTTTTAACGGATGGCCAACGTTAGAACTCGCATTAATGCTACTTGCCGGACCAAGGAGGTAGATAATAGGAAAAGAATTATCAACATAGATTTAATGTATACTATCTAATAGGCTACTATTGATTGGTACAAGGTAATAACTTAGTCAAATATCGAATACGATGCTTAATATGAGGTAAAGATAAGGGTTAGTATAGTAACATATGTAGCCGGACCAAGGTGCGGAGTGAAATTTTCTAGATGCCAGACCAAGGATTTAGAAATACATAACTTATCACTTTGCATGCAAGATACTAGGAAAGAATTGTTATAGTTACAATCATCAAGTTATGAACATGTGGGGAACACGTAAATCCTATTTACTTTTATTAATTGATTAGACTCCAACATTCGAAGCTGTTAAGTGTCTCCTTTAATTTTGCTAGTTATTTTCATTTATTCAGAAATAAAAAACCCCCATTTACCATTTTTACTTTCCAAGGAAGTAATTGACTGGACAATAGTAATAATAGATTGAAGTTAAGTCTAAACTATTTTCCTCGTGGGAACAATCCCAACCATACTAGTTGGATTATTTACTTGACACGACCGCTTTACTTCTTATTTGAGAAGTATGTTTGAGCGTATCATTGGTCTATCTTGATGACATGTTGGTAACTGGGAATAGATTGGAGTGGATTGAGAAAAAAAAACAAAAGCTACAACAAGTATTCAAAATGAAGGACTAGGGGAAGTCTAAAATACTTTCTTGGAATAGAATTTGATAATATGATCAAGGGATATTAATGTATCAAATAAAGTACTCAATTGTAACATCTCACAATTTGAAATAGTTAGGACGAAGCTAAGAACTGGTAAGAGTTAGTTTTGGAAATAATAAAAATCTGAAAATTTGATTATTTACGAAAAAAGTAAGTTTTTGGTCAACTTCAAATGGCCATAACTTCGATCTCAAGATGATTTAGATGTACTTTGACATGCAGTTGGAAATTTCTTCGGATAATCTTTCCGAAGCAACCAATTTTGTGCGATTTCGAGCTCGTATAAGTGAGTTATGTCCTTTGGAAATTGGGCTGTTGGAACAACATAATCAATGTAAACATAATAAAGCTAATTCATGTCTATACGATTCTTAAATAACAGATTCATATCTAGGTGATGTAGTCTAAGGCCATTGACCAAGAAGTTCATCAATCAAAGAAGATGAAATCTAACCCCTCAATTTGCCTCTTTCATGACTTAAACCTAGACTATATCAATTTCACCTTAGAATATTAGGTTAATCAATAATTCAAATAGAATCATATTGAGATCATGTAAATACATCATATTTCACTATCATTGAATTGAATTGATCACAACAAGACCTATTTTCATGTTTCTAGAATCAATTACCCATACTAAGGTCACAATTTTGCAATATAGGGGATCCATCAGTTCTTTGGGATATTTTACCAAAATTCATCCATAAATCATCAATTCCATCATCCCTTAAACTAATTCAACCATAAAAAAAATTTGGAAGAAACCCACATCATTCTACAAAACCCTTAAAACTGGGGAAAGTTGGAAGTTTTGAAGTCAAGTTTTGAAGTTTGGAGCTCTTTGGGGGAAATATACCAAAAGACGAAAAATACCATACCTTGATTATGAATCCTTGAAGAAGTGATGAAAAACACTTCATTTTTTCCAGCCCGAGCTTCAATTTCTCTCTTCTTGTTCTTGGGTTTCTAGAGAGAGAATTTTTTTTATGGAGGAAGATGACCTTTTTTATTTGAAGTGGTTCTTTGTGAAAGTGATTTATTTTGAAAATATTTTAATATAAAATCCCTTGTATAGTTATTTATAAATAATATAAAATGCACTATCTTTCTAGTTTAACTTAAAAAATAATATTTATGAAAACATCCTTACACAGATGGACTTAGCCGAAAATCTAAGGAAATGTTTAAGAGAGTATTTAAGGTCCTTGAAGTGGTCCACTAGCCTTGGACTCTCCACTGAACTTTGTCTTTGGCCTTTTAAATCAAAGGCATATCCATTGGACTATTCAAATATCCTATTTATGTTATATTATATATATATATATATATATATATATATATATATATATATGTATAGAGAGAGAGAGAGAGAGAGTTATATATATATATATTACCAATGGAATTTTTAAAGCCCTTGAATTGATGTACTTTCCTTAAACCCTCCCTTGGACTTTCCTTTAGATTGTTATAGCTAAGGCTTAAGTCTACAAAAGAGTACATGGCAGTGGACCCCCACTTGAACAAGTGCACTGCCCACATGTTAATGCAACCCTTACTCGGTGTGGTCCGTATTCTGTGGGGCCCTCTTTTTTTCCTTACCCTCACGTGTATAGCCCCCAAAAAACTAAGGCATTAGTTCAAGGAAGCTTCTAAGGGTGGTGAAGGCCTTTACCTTCCTTGAACCCTCTATTGAAAATGTACTTAGTCAAAATTAGCTAAGGCATTGGTTCAAGGAAGCTTCTAAGGAAGGTGAATCATTTCTCCTTCCTTGCATCCTCCCTTAAGTTTATACTTAGGCTCTAGTTTTACCTATTAATTTTCTGCGTGTTACATTTTTCTACACCTTGATGAATCTGATTTTGTTCAAATCTGGACTAAGTTTGGAAATTTCAAGTTACTATGAAAATGTTTTCCGATCCAAAAAATTTTCCCATTCGCTTTTCTATAACGACGGAACTCAGTCGTTACAATTTCAAAAATAGTATATAGTCATGATAATTATTATCTTTTAATATATATATGTAAGTAAAAATTAATGGAGAAAGTAAAGTGGTGATGGCAAGAGATTTTAATTAATTAAACATTATAGTGAATATAACATGTCATTTATTTTCGTTTTCCTTCTTCAGTGTCTATGTATCATTGCATTTTTTTTCTTTTAATGTTTATATTGAATATGAAATTTTCAAAGTATGAATTTCTTGTAAGTTTGTGTTCATTTTAACTTGAGAAAGTAGTATGTAGCAAGATACACTCCTCGCTAGTTATATAAAAATAGATGAGAAAATAGTGATTGATCATAAAAATAATCTTAAATCAAATTAAAGATTCTGTAAACAATACTTAAAATAATATTCATCTATTGATTTTTATTATGTAAAAAGTTTAACATTTTATATCACGATACAATTTCTATGACATACTAGATACCTTCTCTACAGAGCATGTAAAAGATAGATTGCACATAAAGAAAAAATATTGAAATAATTATGGTAGTCCTTAGTGTCATGCACATACTAAATTTTAAATATGTATATTTAAGAGAAAAATTATAATTAATGGTGTCCATAATTTATGTTCATAACCTTAATAGGACAAACTATTAGTGACATTTTTTATATTGATATTTTTTTAAATTTTGTTGGTTAGATTTTCTTGCAGAATATAGTGAATTAAAAAAAATACTACTTAATAAATGTCACTTTCTCTCCATATTTAATGTTTCAATGATATCTGGTAATTTTGATTTCAATATAGCATGATCATATATTTTTCTTCTTTGTTCTTCATTAGCTATGTATCGTTCTATATATTTTATCTTTTTAGTATTTATATTGAGTATGGAATATTTTAATTATGAATTTCTTGTTATTTTGTGTTCATTTGAATTTGAGAAAATGGTATGTCACAAGATACACTCTTTGCTAGCTATATTAAAATAGATAAGAAAATAGTGATTGATCATAAAATAAACTTAAGTAGAATTAAAAATTTTATTTTAAAAATGCATTAAATTTTATTCGATCTATTAATTTTTATTTTTTTCAAAAGTTTAATACTTTATATCAAGATACAACTTCTATAAGATACTAGATGCTTTCATTAGACAACAGGTAAAAGATAAATTGTTTATAAAGATACAATATCGAAATAATCATAGTAATCCATAGTGTCATGCACATACTATATTCCAAATATGAATGTTTAAAAGAAAAATTATACTTAAATGGTGTCCATAATTTATGTTCATAACCTCAAGAGTAATGACTATTGGTGACATTTTTGTATTGATATTTTTTTAAAATTCTCTTGGCTAGATTTACTTACAAAATTTAGTGATGTAAAAAATAATACAACTAAAGATATGTCACTTTCTCTCCATACTTTATCTTTGAATGTATATTGAAATATTTCAACGATATCTGGGTATTTTGATTTCAAAATAAAAGTAACTCTATGATAATTTGTATTTATCACTGAAAAAAACTTGTCCTATGTTCATCAATCAAAAGTATCTAATAAAATTGCTTAATTTTTTCATATTAATTCTATTTTACAACATTGTATATACGCGTGCTACGCACATGCCGTGAAACTAGTATATATATATTCGATACTTATGATTGAAAGTATGATTTGTAGTGTATATTTTCGTTGCTCAATCCATAGAGACTATAGTATTCTATATTTGTTAAACTTCTAAAATTATTTCCTCTCATATGAAAATTTTACATTTTAAATAAAAAAATGCGCAATATTTTTTTATAAAAAATAATTATAACCTATTATTGTTTTATAAATGAGGGCTATTGTTATCTCTAGGCATGTCAAGCTGATAATAAGTTAGTCATTTAAAATATATCATCTTCTTTCATTATACAAATTACTCTTAATAGGTAGTAAAACTTCAAGTATGTTCAAAGGGCTTTGAAAGCCAAATCTCAAGTAATAAAATGGCCCCTCTCTTTTTTGAGCAACAAGCTCATCAAAATCCCTTCTGTCTTTTTTTTTTTTGGAAATAATTAAAGACATCATAGCTCCTTTTTTTTTTGCAACAAACATATCATAATATTCACTTATTTTGGAAACAAACACATCATAATCCTCTATTTTTGGAAATAAACTTATTATAATCCTTAAAAATGATTAAATATGTCAACATCTTTATCCACAATTGATTGCTCTTTCATCCAACGGCGTACGGGTTCAATCCTCGTGATTGTCTTCTCATTGGCTTGATTATAACTCATGTGGGTTAGAAATGCCAAAATATAATACTCTTAGAATTCACATACACACACAATAGTTTAGTTCTTCTTCTTCATTTGTCTCTTATTTCTATAGATCAAAAAACAGAACTTTTTTATTCTTTTTGAAGTGAAAAAGATCAATGGCCGGTAAAAGGAAAATTCTTTATTCAAATGCTAAAAAAAAAAGTCTATTTCTAGTAGAGAAAAATTTGTTTTCCAATTCCCTGTGGCTTGTATTGCCCGATTCCTCAAAGTTGGGAAGTATTCCAAAGTGTTGGTGTCAGAGCTCTGGTAGTCCTGGCTGATGTTCTTGAGTACCTTGCAACTGAGGTAAATTTCTCAAGTTCCTTCTCTTTTTTTTTTTGATATTTCAAATTTCTAGGGTTTGTGATTACTAAATTTACATCTATGTGATTGTTTGTTGGTGATTGAACTTATTGGGATTGCAGCGAGGAATGAAAAAAGGACTCGGATCATTCCAAGGAATATTTAGCTAGAAATTAGGTTTGAAGATGAGTTGTCTCAATTTCTAAGAGATGTAACGATTCTGAATGATGGTGTTATTCCAAATATTCATAATATTTTTTTGTCTAACAAGAAGAATTGCTCTTCAAAAGGTTGTTGCTGTTGGTGGTAAGGATGAGGAGGAAGATTAGACTGATCATTCCATCTCTAGTATCAGATGATTGCTTTTATTAATCTCCTTGTATTCATAGAAAATTTTATCACTAAAACCTTTGATTTCCATCTGTTGGTTTAATGACAACTTATATTTATGTTGGTTAGAATAAAAACTCAACATACATAGATCTTAGTATTACCTGTTGTTTAATTTGCTTTAGTTATTATATTATTTATTATTTCTATTGATTTTTGTTTTGACATATTCATTTCCTGATGTGTATAATAGTTTTAGGTTTTTTCTCTCAAGTTTTCTTAACAAGCTTTATTAAATATTTGCCAAATTTGAAATAGAGTTTCAATTTAATTTGAATTTTCATGATATGTCTATATTACTATAATGAAAGTTTTTCTTAGAATGCTTTTATAACACCCCAGAATATTTTTGAAGTAAAACTCGAACCATCCTTCGTAGTGAGTAAGTTTTTTCCAAGGAATTTAAAATTCCTTTAGTATTAAGTTCAGGTCACTAGCACCTTGAGCTCTAAAAATATGTGGTAAAATATACCTTAGGTGAGTTTGCTAAGTTCTGAGTTCGGATCAGTGAGATATGACCTTTTGAATTTATATCATCTAGTTAAGGAAAGTTAGTCGAAAATAGTAAGGGGTATTTTGGTATTTTTCTTTACAAAATCATATTCAAATCATTTTTATGAAATGTTTTAAGGATCTGATCTTATTAGGTTCAACTTTATAATTCTAATATTTTCCTAGGGTCTTAGTTAAGAGTTCAAGAAGAGAAAAGAAGAGAAATGAGGAGAGGATCAAGCGTTCGTCGAGATTCTTACATCGTGTTGTGGAATTTCGCCATTGGTTTAATCCCTAAGCTTCCATTGTGTTGGATTTCGTTCACCCACACGCCAATGATGATTTATTCAGCGCAATTTCGTTCTTGAAATTGAAGGATTTAAGTTCTTGATGAGTTCTTGATAAATTTTGATGTAAGATTCTATTTGGGTCAATTTCAAACGACCATATCTCTTAGAATATAAATATTTATGTTTCATAACCTATTAAATTAAAAGTATTTAGATCTACTTTCAAAATCCTCTACTTTCGCATCAATTTAATTATATGAGTAAAAAATTATGGCTA